GGAGATACCTACTCATGTTTTCAAAACAAAATTAGAAGACAGTAGCGAGGCAGTGGGACTCACTTATTATTTTATTTTGTAAGCTGATATTTTCAAACTTGGAATGGTCCCATATCATCTATCTTTCCTGTTATAGTAGTTAATGCCCCAATACATTTCCCCATTCTTTATAGGGAAATTTGGGCCAATAACCATTTCTCCAAAAAAAAATAAACAAATAGCCATAGTAACCTAATGGTTATGTTATAATACATAATATGTCACTTATTCCCTATTCTACCCTTAGCTTGCGCGTGAAAACGGACCGTCGTTTTCGTCCCCTTTCCTAAATTTTAATTGTAATAGCTTATATCAGATCATAAACTGAAAAAAGACGAGGGAGATCAAGGAGGCGTCAAAACTTTGGTGACTGAAGAAAGAGGAAATCAGAATTCTATACCTCAACCGTGAAAAGAATAGTTGCCGTCACTTGGGCACCGGAAACGCATCCCACCGACGTTAGGGTTTAAGTTGGGAATGGTGTGATTATGACTCAGAAGACAAGTATAATCATCATCTGATAGGTAAATCCCCAATTTGCCTTCAATTATAAGTTGATTTTACTTCCTCCGACCGTATTACGTCGGTTGGGTTATAACCACAGTCCGGTCATTTGGGAATTTTTTTCCTGGTGTTGTCGTGGTTGAATCCGTCAATTAGAAGCTCTAATCATAAATGTGAATCTTTTCTTTGATGCATGCGGTAGTCGGTGTCAGTCGGGTTAGTGTGTTATTGTCTAATATTTGAAATACGCAGTGTATCGATTGTTACTTTTCAGACCAATTGATTTCAAAAGGATGTGTATGTCTATATATATATTTATGTGTGTGTGTTATAGTATAGCAAATTTTTTGGGTAGATAGACTTTTCTATTAGCAATTGAGTATAGTCATTCTAAGGTACCATCATGTATATCAGTTTATTTTTGGGTATACCGTTTCACAAAATTGTTGAGGTGTTTATATATATGTGTGCATAATATAGAACTAGGAAGAAACAAGTGTAGTAGGGTGGTATGGAGGTAGCAAAAACTTTGGGATGTATGCCAAGCTCGCAGACTATACCATGGGGAAAATAGTATAGCCTTCACATGTTTCCATGGATATACGTCTATAGAACTAGGAAGAAGCAATTGTAGTACGTAGGTAGGTAGGTAGTAGATGGATGGCGGGTTGGTGTATTACGGTCTACTATTTGAAAAATCAAGTGTCTCCAATGGTTGGTCTCCGAACAAAAGATTTTTAAAGTGTATTTAGTGGACTATAGATATGTGCTTAGAGAATAGAAAGTTAGAGAATTGCTTTTGTTATTGGATGTCGGTATCGTGTGGTCTCAGCTTCGCAGTAAAGAGGTTTGTCAGTAGGCTATATATATTCGTTTGTAGTATATAATCTTGTTGATTGGTATTCATTATTATTAACATGTTAATTGAATAGGAAAGGTTTGTGGTTACCACAATTAAATTGGGTAACTTAGCGTACTTGTTTGGAGAAATAAACGTGCAAGCGTTGAAAGTTGTAAGGTTGAAAACGAGTTCTTAATGACCATACATAGACCATTCTATTGAAAATTGAGTATAGTATTTATGTTTATAAATTTTGGAAAATGTATGTCAGTAACGCAGACTAAACCATGGGGAAAATAGTATAGTCTTCACTTATTAATGTATAGACGTCTATAGCTGTGAAAACTGTTTTGCAAGTGAAAGTACCGATAAAGTTTTTTTTTATTACTGTCAGTGAGTTAACGTTTGTCTATCCTTGTAGATTATGGAGGATTTTGGCTTACCGGAACGCTTGTTTGAGACGGGGTTCGAACCAACCGGCCATAAAAGAATAAACAACTACTTCAATTTGAGATGGGTGTACGTTATAATAGACGCTCTATCTGATGCCTCGAAGGAGTTCAGACAAATTATGTTAATGGGAAGTCATACATTTTCAGTTATGTTTTCCCATCAGATATTTTCATGTCAGCTGGTGACGCTTAAGAAGTATGAGCTATGGTGGACGTTTAAGTATACCAATACGTACAACCTACAAATTTTCATAACCGATCATGTGCATATCTGCTTCCCTTTTATTGTTTGCTAAAGTGCTCCACTGTTCGTATTGTTGTTACCGATACTATAAAATAATACCGATAGTATAGTTTGTTTGTACTCCCGCCGATTGAATTCATGTTGTACTTTTGCGTTTACCCGGATCTTTACTATCGACGTTTATGAAGTTCCTTTCATGTAACCATTGGGACGTTTTCGGCTGTTATTCTTGATGGAGTCCTTGGCTGGTTCTGTGTGCCCTATACTATTCAACATGTACTATAGTAAATCCTAATCTCTTTCCCTACATTTCAGTTGTGCTTGTATAAGACACGTATATGCAGTTACGGTAGCCAATTTTGAAATATTTTCATTGCTTGCTAACGCGATGTAGTATTCGCACGGTGGTAACCTATACTATGTACTGCATTACATAGTATAGCGTGTTAGATTGCCAGTTTCCTGAGTACATGGTGTACTGTTTCCTCTCAACGGAACATAAACGTGGCACTCTATGTGTCTGTATTGTATTATTGTACTGTGTAATACATGTTTTGTAAGTTTGGATGTTTAAATACATCTCCTATAATGTATATGCTACTGTATTGGACTTCACCTTCGTGCGTACTGTACACCTGCAGTTTATACATCATCCATATTTTGCTTTACCATATTGTACTATCTGGTGCTGCACTGTTTTTCTCGTATACCCGCAGTCGGTCCTACACTATTGCATGTGTAGTATAGTCTATTATAGTACATTATGCAACATGTATCATGTTGACAATGGTTCTTGTCTACACCATGGGTTTACAACTTTGTGCGCACTATTGGAGTATCCGTATCATTACGGACGACTCCAATTCATTTCAACTTTCTCACTTGTTGCCATATTGTCTTCACAGTTACGCAATATTGTATTTACCGAAATCTCCGACATGAACCTCATATTACTCTTTCATTACTTTTTGATATAATCGCTTTTTATGAAACAATGAACCCCTCTAAGACTCTGCCAGTTCCTGGTGATGAACTCTGGTGACACCCCACAAAACCTCTACAGTCTGTTATGAAACGGTCCTCTAATTTCTTGCTGATTTTGTTTATATTCCATTTTTTCACAATATTATCGCAGTTATAGTATAGTCTTCTTCTATACTACATGCGGTTTCAACTTTTGTCGCATACTTTTATGCTATGTCTCATCTAAACAGTCCTCCAATTTCTTGCTGATTTTGTTTTCATTCCATTTTGCACAATCCTATCACGTATATAGTATAGTTTTTTTTTGCCCCCATATAAATGGCTTCACTAAACGTGTTTGGTGTAAGGATTACCATATTTTGGCCCTACCCAATTCTCTCTGCGTGAACATCATCGCATACGCTTATCCCTCATGTTTTTACGTGCCGATCTCATCTTCCACATATGCATTTCATGTACTATACTATTTTATTGATAGTAGATATTGTATACCCACCATCACTCAACATCAGCTTTCCTTACCTTTCTTCCACTTAGGCCCCTAATATACAACTCGACTTGGATAATAAAACGTTTCTCACTTTCCTATACTACAACAGTTATATTGTAGTCAATTACATTTCCTTGTACATTCACTTACTTAATAAACTCACAGTGTTATCGTTGTAATTTTTTACTCGCTCAACATGACGCGCCCGCGATTGCAAGGACAAAATAGTCCACAAGCGTGCGTAATTGTCAAATCACCTGTTTGATGGCTATATTCTTAATTTTCCTTTCTCTTATGATTATTCAGCAAATTGCCCCTTCTTTATATGTTTCATTTTTCTTCTAGTTTAAAATTTTCATTTCCATGTTCATGGTGTTCCTCATATGTCATTTAATGTCAACTGAAATCTAGTACATAATTATTACTATATTATTCACATTTACTCTTTTAGGAAAATTGGTCGGTTATCAGATAATGGAAGAAATCTCTATTTAAATTTCATAATATGTTAATAAATTAATCAAAATGCAAAGAGGTGTATATAGGAGAACAAGAAAATTAACCAGAAATTTATGTGTGATCTGTGATCGTTGATATCAACCATATATAGTTCAATGACTGATTGCTCAACTGAAATTTATAGTACTCAATTTATTAACGTTTAAATGTTTTTGTTGTTAGTTAGAAATTTGTCTCCATAACTTATAATAGTTTTGACTAATTTGGCTGCAACGATTCTTTTGGCAGAGGTTAGTTCTTGTTCACGAATTCGAGTTTCTACTACAAAAAAAAAAAAAAAAATTATTTCCGTCTGAGAATGTATCACCAAGCAGTTAATTCGATACTGGAAAGGATAATAGAACAAAGGTCTTAATTATTTTGTTAAAAAAAAAGCCCTAATATTTTGCACATTAACATATACTCTATGAATCCCTAGAGACCCGTTCAAAAGTATAAAACATCATACCCACTCCCACCTCTGGACAACACAATCTTTTATGCCTTTAGTCAAACAATTCATATTTCTAAAGTACGCCAATCTTTGTCAGATTTAATTAATTTAATAGTAATAACTTATACTAGCTAGAAAACATCAAAGTCGCTGTGTGGATGCTTATAAACTATGAAGCATAACAAGAATCCTGATAAGTCTCGGTTCATACAACTATTTGAAAATTATGGTTAATTGCTCCTCTTGTTTGGATCTCCTATAGATAAGAAATTTTATTTTGCTGGAGAGTTAAGATGATATTGGTGTTGTAGACTTGTCATAATGAACTCCCAGTGTTGACAAAAAAAATCAACTCTGCGGTATACCAACTTTATATCAACATATAGTATTATACAGTAGTTAGAAAAATTATTTGTCTTATAATATCAGCCAGTATTCTCCTTTATATAGAATACTCTCGCCATAAAAGACAACACTTAGTTTCTCTATTTCTTCCACATCTTCCATCTCACCAGTTTTCTCAAAGCAATCTTTGGCAATAATGGGCAATAAACGCATAGAAGCAATGATGACTCTGGTGGTGATTATGATGGTGTTCTCATGGAGGAGTTGTGAAGCCGAGAGCTTAAGAAGATACACATCATCATCATCAAGACCACAAAGATTTTTCAAGGTGAGAAGACCAAATCCACTTCAACATCATAATAACCATGGTTTCATTGATGATGGTTATCCTCCAAAAAGTTTCTCAGGACTTTTGCCGAAGACAATGCCAATTCCACCTTCTGCTCCTTCCAAGAAACACAATGTCTATGGTTTACAGAGTACTAATTTCCAACGATATCCATGACCTTCGATCTCCAAGATACTTACACATACAAAATTATAGCATAGAAAATCTAGTTATGTCTATCTTCTTTCTCCCTTTGTGTTTTTTTTTTCTTTTATTTTGGTTTTAAAGAAGGTTATCTAGGATGGAATTATTGTATTCCATCGAGAAAACAAAATAAGGTCGGGCTATTTTAGGATGCACGCCTACTTATTTGAACCCTACTTGTATTATAGTTAGAAGTATTATGTATCCCATATGCAAACTCATGATTGAATCATTGTAATACATCATTCCAATGTACCTGGTTCTTCGTTCTATCAACAATAAATTAACACCTACGTTCTACTTTTTATTTGTTATTTTAAAGTCGAACTTTTAATGCTTGATTAGCAGTATATATGTTTTTTCACCTTTTTTATTAAACACCAACAAACATGTATTTTAGAAAACGAAAGATGTCTAGCGTTTGAAAAAAAAAGATTGAATATTTTATGATACTCTAGTTGTTTTTATATAAATCTAGAAGAAATAAATACTCTCTTTGTTTCATTATAAGTGTCATTTTAAAATTGTGCATCAAATTAAGGAAACAAATAATGTTACATATTTTCCATATAAAAACACAATTATCTATACGCTTAACCATATTTTAACGAATAGAAAAACAAAACAAATAATAAAATTAATATTTTTTTTATTGAAAACTGAAAACAACACTTATTTTGTAATGAAAATATTTCTTATAAATAATCTATATAATAATAGTACACTTTTGAAGCTCCTCAGCGTGTCCACGTCAGCAAATTTGTGGGCTCCGCGGGTGTTATTAGGAAAAACAAAAACGTATAACATTTTGTAAGATTGAATGTTATTGATGAAAGCACTAATAACAGTAATGCTCGATAAAATCACTAATAAAGGGAATGCTCGATAAAATCACTACGAAGATAAAATATGAAAATATCAACCCATATGAATTCGATGTTTATTCTTTTATCAGACTAATCAAATTGTGTGACTTCTAATGTTTCATTCATCACCATTATAGATAAGCCAAATAAACAAATGTTAAAAAAACAGCAAAATCTCATACACAAAACTACATAAAACATCAACAACGTATCTAATCCCCGCACTTGTGCAGGGACTACGCATCTAGTACTATGAAACGGTTGGAGTATGTCATAATGGCCAACTACAAATTTTCTTCGGGGTTATGTACAGACGTATTACATGGGACCAGCAGACACTGTTTTTATTTTCAGAAATGAAAACTATAAGTCATAAATGTATTGAAGAAAATATAATTGACTGAAGTCGCCATAAATGATGCTACGGTATAGACATTCGTCGCATATACTAATGAAACTTATAGTTATAGTTGCATGTAAGTGCATGTATCTGTATGTACCATCATCCCAAACCTTCGAGCTGACGTATGCTTGTTTTGTAGTTTAATTTGATTATCTAACAAGGACTTTGAAACTTTGTAGTGCGATGAAGTAACACATTTATTAGTAACTACCAACTAACCAACAAAAAGTCAAGCCGTGTTCTTATTTTTAGTCAATCATTTGAGTTTGAATTTGCTTACCATTGTAATGTATCTATTGAGATTTCTTTTGTTTCTCTATTTTTGTAAGTTAATAACGAATTCCATTTGAAGAAATGGTGACATGACATGTAAAAAAGCCTTATATTAAGGATAAAAAATAACGTACAAGAAACTCTTAACTATATAAATAAACCAGCCATATGGTATTGTAAAGTTATAACCAGAATTAGATTTGTATATAAAATGCGTTTAGATTGTTTCGGAAACATACAAGTCAAAGAAAAATAGGTCAAGGGAATCTGTAATATATGTAGATATGAGTAAAAATAAGGTCAAGAGTTGTTATGAAATGTTTGTACGTACACAAGTGAATTCTTAAGTATTGCTTTAAGACAATGACAAGTTGAAATGGGCAACCATCAACATATATATTAATTAGAGTTCATCAAATACAGATAATAAATAAAAATAAAGAATGATCCAAAACAATGTAATATCTACTAAAATGGCGGAACAAAGAGAATACAAAGAATGAGAATGAAAAATAGTGTAAAGCCTATGTTGCATTGAAAATTGATGGATATTAGTTGATGTTTGACTTATATTTTAGTTAACCTATAGAACTTATATTAGTCGATGTCAAAAAGAGAAACTTATGCTAGATTTTGAGTAAATTTTTTTTAATTGAAATTTTATATAATTAAGTTTTGTCTTTATTTAAAGTATGTTTTGGTATAAAATCAGTAATCCAAAATTTGTGGTGATGATTGCTTTGCATTGGTTTTTAGTTTCATTTTTTTATTTTTATATTTGGTTTTAGATTTTGGTTTTTGGTTTTTAATTTTTCAGTTTCTAGTTTTGATTTTCAGCTTTTGGTTTGGGTTTTTAGCTTTTAGATCCGCTGAGTTAGTTTGAACTCATACCTACCAACAAACAAATCCCAAATAATCGAACATTTAATTTAAAACTGAAAATATGACAATTTTTATTTAAAAAAATTGCAATAGTTTATTTTGTAAATAAACAAAACAAAAGCAAAAAAATAACATGCATTTTCAGCTTTTGGTTTTGGATTTTAATTTTTAGATTTGGTTTTTAGTTTTGCTTTACCTTTATTTTTTTTAAAATCAGTAAATTATTTTAGAAAAATAAAAAAAATAAACTATTATAAAAGTTACCATTGAAATTTATCAAGACAGAGTGATTGTTATTTAAAAAAAAATATTAACATGGTTTAAATAAGTGATTAATAATATATAATTTTGTTTTCTTAAAATATTAAATACTTTTGGGACTTAAAATAGTAATTGATTTTTTGATCCATTAAGGTAGAACATTTATTCAATGTTTTTTTGGAGTTTTTCTTTAATACTAAGCCCAAAACTCAAAGTATATAATTTGTCATAAAAACAAAAGTAAGCTCAAAACTCTATTCCATAAATAACTGCCGGTTTAATTTAAGTAATGCGGTTTAATCAACTATATGACTTGTATCATTTGTAACACTATAGAAAAGATCCAAATTTAAATGACAACTTATATCAGTAGATAAAAAGAATGACTATATTTTACCAGAGTATATGTCACACATTTAGGTAATTACTACAAATGGTTGTCATTGACTCATTAGTCTGTTAATCACAAAAGTCAAGATTATCTAAACACCAAAAAGTCAAAAGCAAGAAGACCTCTATAAGACTTTAAATACTTACTTTATATGACTAAGCTTAATATTTCCTCCATTTTTTTTTAATAATTGACGTTTTAAGAGAATTTTTTTACCCAAAATAAATGATATTTTCAATTTTTATGTAAATTTATTAACAATTGATATTATATAACCAATGATATAATACATTATATTATATTATTGGTTAAATTATGGTTAGGTAAGATAATTAATGATATTTTTGTTTAGAAAATGTAAAATTTAAATGCATTCTTAATCTATATCCACAATCATAAAACGTCAACTATTTAAAACAGGAGTATAATTTTGATTTTGTTGCTAATGTGATCTGGGAACAGATGGTCTTTTTATATATACCACATACATTTAAGGACATGAAAAAAGGGAGAAAAAAAAGAGTTAAGTTGAACAATTGAAGAGTTTCCGGACAAAACTAAAGAAACTAAAACTTAAGGGGCAAAAACATACAAACATTTTAATGACTACTACTTAGTAACGTCCTCTTCTTCATCTCTGTCTCTATCAGTTTGAGAAGCTGTTGGTTTCTCCGACACTCTCACATTATATTTCTCATACACTTTTTCCCTATTCTCCGACCACCATGTCTCAGCTTGATGTTCTCCAAATCTTCTTCGGCTGCAAACAAAAACAAAACCTTTAGCATCATCACTCACATTTACTAGTAAAAACGTGTAACTCAAAGAGTATGAAACAAATGTTAACCTGAACCGGACTCTTCTTAGATCTCTAGTTCCATCATGGAGAGCAACAAGGGTTATATACACACCAGGCTCATACTGTTCTATCCACTCTGCTTCTACCTCATTAGTATTGTTGTCAGCTCCTGTTTGGCTAGAACCATTGTGGAACTGGAAAGGCTCGTGTCTCTCACTGATTACTGACCCGCTGCTACTAAGCCGTGGGTCTGAGGGATAAGCCGTGTTGTTGTTTCTTTCACCGGCTCTAGGAGTGTGCTTTGGTGACTGGAGATTGGCCCAGGATGCATTCGCAAAGGCGAAGTCAAAAGGAGCAATTGATGATATAGAAGAGGTCATTGACTCTGATCTTGATGGATGGAACCCGTTTTCTTCAGGGAAGTGGAAACCGTTCTGGTCTAATCCGAGTTTGATGCTCTCACCAGGAGGCAACTTCTCAGCAACATCCTTGAGCTGCCAAAGATTTAGCTTATTATAAGTCAAGCTTCAATGCAGTTCACAAGTATATTAATAGGCATTGGGTTTCGGATTATTCGGTTAATTCAGGTCGGGTATTTTTGGTTTATTCGGTTAATTCAGGTCGGGTATTTTCGGTTTTGGTTAGTTTAGTTCGGCCACAATCCCACCAAGTAAACCGAAAAATCTTCAATTTGGTTTTTGGTTAATTTTGGTTTTATATTTTCCCGAGAATAACCGATTTTTTGGATTTTAGTTAGATTTCGGAATAAATTCTTTAAAAATATTTCAGAAATTTTCGGTTAATTTCGGGTTTTTTAAAACCAAACTCACTAAAACCGAACTGAAAATCAAAATATTAGTGAACCAAAAACCGGAAATTTTGGTTTGATTCGGTTCAAATCCACAGGGCTACTGTATATATCAAAACAGATTGTACCTGAGCTATGAGCGACTTTATTGCTTCTTTTGCAGCTCTGGACTTGGCAGATTCCTCCTCTGCCAATGCTAAAGCTTCCTGAGTCTTCTTAACCGAGTTCTTGAGCTCTACTTCTTGGAGTTCACACTTTTGTGTCAGACTGTCCACCTAAATCCAAGGAAAAAAAAAACAAATATTGGAACCAATGCAGAAGAAGAACCAAGCATGAGCCATCCCTTCTTTCAGTGGTGAAGATGCATACCTGTGTTCTTAACTTAATGATCTCCTGATTCAAGATCTCATTAGTTTTTCTCATATTATCAGCCATACCCACAGGGAAATAGATTCCAGAAGTTGAAGGCATAGGAGTAGCAGAGCGAGGAGGACTAGACCTCCTAGAGAAAGGCGACACCGACCTGGAACTAATACCTGATGGGCCAGGAACTAGCTTTGGAGTAGACCTTCCTACATTAGACTGCACTGCATCTTTCAGCTGTAACAAAGAAGGCAGCTGAGAGTTGCGAAAATTATCAGTTTTCTTTCCTTGTTTAGCAGCTTTGCTATCTAGTTGCTTGATCAAATCCATATTAGATGTACCAAACTTGGCTAATCTTATCTCAGATTTATCCAACCTGTCTTTGTTCTCCCCTGAAAGACGAGGCACAACACTGTTCCTTCTGTTTGTCTCACTTATCTCAGACACTTTACTGAGCTTAACATAACAAGAGTCGCAGACACGGTACAGTCTTCCAGCACTTGGAGCCAATGCAGCTCTGAATGCTTTCTTGGAACTACATGAATGACAATGCACAAGTCCACAGTTATAGCAGTTATGCCGTTTCCGTGTAAAACCAAAAGCTAGTCTACAAGCTGAGCACTGAGATTGCTCAGCACCAGAGACCCATTTGTGTAGACATATAGCTGCAGTGTAGTTGGATCCACAAGCAACGTACTTAACGTGTCTGTCTCTCAAAGCTTCCACAAGAGTAGGTACTTTTCGATCCTCTAGATCACCGTGTCCTAATCTCCCATTAGCTCCTTTACCCCATGTGTAAACTTCGTTTCTAGATGTTAAGGCTGCAACATGATATGCTCCGCAAGAGATCTCCTCAACGAACTCACTTGCGAGCTTGTCCTCAACCAAACAAGGTAGCTTTCCGTCTGTCTGTACATTCCCGAGCTGACCGTAAACTGTACTCCCCATCGTGAACACTTGTCCAGACGTGGTCAAACCAACTGTTAAACTATGTCCACATGCTATTTTGTGAAAGTTGTAATCAATCAACGCAGGGACACATGTTGGTTTAAGCCGAGGGTCCTTGTCACCGTGTCCAAGACGGTTTTTGTCTCCATCACCCCATGTGAACAGCTTCCCAGATGACACAGAAGAACTTGAGTTTGATTGTGTGACGATGATCTCAACAACAGCAGCAGTGTGCCAAACCCCACATGAAACCGCAATGGTTCTCAGACCTGATAAAGATTCAACTTCTCTTGGATACTGAACTGTTTCCTTGTCACCGTGTCCCAACACACCAAACGTTCCATCTCCAAACGTAAAAAGCCTCCCATGTGATGTTATCAAAGCGGTATGCCAGGGTCCACAAGTTACAGAAGCTACATGGAGTCCCTCGAGAGGACCAGCGATTCTCTTTGGTATCCAATGACTTATATCAGAGCCATGCCCTAAAAGTCCGGCCTTATGTGTACCGTCACCCCATGTATAGAGCTCTCCGGATAGAGTAACAGCACAAGTGTGGAACTCTCCACAAGAAACGAAGTCAACAGATGAAGCAGAAGCTGTGAGAGATTCAACAAGACGAGGGTGAAACACATCTTTCCCAATACCATGACCAAGTCTTCCTCCAGATTCTTCACCCCAAGTGAAAACCTCACCTTGCCTTGTCACAAATGCAGCATGCCTCACACCACATGCAATTTGATGAACATCCAAGACAATGTTTGACTCTAATGGCTTCGGCACAAGGACATCCGTTCGAGTGGTTAGATAACTTGCGTTCTTATCAATCCCCACTTTGACGACATTGTCACATATAACCTCACCCCAAATGTATACGTCCCCTAACGCATCAGACTCATCTGCTCCAGAACCGTGACTAGAACTGCTCTGTGCACTAGAGACACTAACTCGGAAACCATCTGAACCAGATACCTTTGTTTGCATGTTTTTGGTGTCCAATGCAACATATGCTTTCTCTAAATCAGTTGAAGGTAGCTCAGTTTTAGGAGAAGCAATTGGGTCGAAGTTAAAGGGGGTCCCAGGAGAGCTGTGACCCTGTGAAGCGCTCGCAGAACTGCTGCTTTGACTGCTTGATGTCACGTCTCTACTGGCCTGTAACATAACATATCAACATGATCAACCAAAGAGTCCACAACACACACACACACACACAAAAAGTCTTTTGCCAGAATACTTACATCAACTGAAATGTTTCCGCCACTCCAGCCATCAATCTTTGAGCGACCGCCTTGTCCACCTGATATTAATGTTTTAAGACCTCCAATCCAAACTTCAGCTTCAACCTTGTCCTTACAAATCTGTTAAGAAGTAAACTGTTATGCATGGAGTTATTATCAAGCGTTGCTGAAATAAAGATTTTCAAAATATCAGTTTCAATGATGACTAACCAAGTCAAGAGACTTCTTTTTTCCGTTGTATAAGAGAGAGAAGGATAAGTAATCTTTCTCTGGGCGAAGATATCGCTGGAAAACAGCCTATTGCAACAGATATTATTAGCTATGCTTGAAAGCCAAGAGGAATCCATTTCATATAAAGAAATGAAGAATATCTTACAGTTCTTTGCCCAGGTACAATTTTAGATACTGAGGCTAACTTAAGTCGCTTTTCACCACTACTTGATATCCAGATCAAAGATTTTTCATCCTGCACAAACCAACAAAAGCGACCATAGTTTTCTCAGATGAAGTAATTGTCTGAAAAACGATACCACAAAGACGAGTAGTTGAGCAGAAAGCAACTCACACTAGAGAGTCTGAAAGGATAAAACTTGGGCTTTCCTTTGCGACCATATTTCAAAAGTTGAGTGCCCTTCTTCAAAGTATTCAATGCCTGCCAAATTGAAACAGCGTAAGGACACAAGAAACATAGTTTGCAACAGCATATCTCCCTTGCATCACTAAGTAATCAGACTCAATGGTGATTGATTATACAAGGAAGAACCAAAACAGAACAACAATGTGATGTATTCACCTATAGCTTAAATTGTCAAGGTCCTGCTTGTTTTCCATAAGCCTAAATGTTCACTAGAAAACCAGATTCAATACACAAATAAACAACCAAACTAAACTGAGAAATCTGAATCTAAAGAACCCAAGTAAGAGAGAGACATGAACTATAACAATTTGAACAAACAAAACTCCAGAGTTTTCAATTTGAGCTTCATACTAGTACTACTCACTAACAAAGGTCTTAAACCCCAAACCAAGCAAAATCGAAATCACAGTGAAGACAAGAGAGAGAGAGAAAGAGAGACAAACTTGTTCAAGGTTGTGGTCAGAAGCATTACTATAGGACACAAGATCTGCCATTCAATGTGAAACAATCACCAGACCTCCACCACCCTCTTCGATCCTCAACGCTCATCTTCTACAAACAAAATCCTTAGCCGCCGTGGAAACCATCAATTTAAAACCCACCCTAACCAGCCGGTTAAACCACTTGCAAAACTTAAACGTAAAGGTTGAAACTTTCGAGATGGGCACTTCCCTTTTCAGCTTAATTCACTTCCCCAGATCTAACGAGGTTAATTCACTTCTCCTATATGGTTAAAGACTGAAACTTTAACCTACACGATCTTCACAATTTGGCAAGTGCTGCTTTTTAGCAACCTTGTGAGAAGAAGTGAAACAGAGTAGGGCTTAACCGGAGATGATAGTGGCGGTGAGAGAGAGAAACCCGGCGGAGAAAAACGACGGAAAAGCAAAAAGGAAGGAGGAGAAGAGGAAGACAGGGAAGTCAGAGACAGCGATGTCAAAGGAAGAGAGAGAAGTAAAATACGAAAATTAAAATTGTTTTTTAATATACTCCATATAAAGGAAACTGTTTCTTTCTTGGAATATTAAATACTTTTATTCTGTTTTTCTTTTGTTTTTGTTTAAAAACTTCTTTAAATTATTCATATTATTATATTACTAGAGGAGGAATCCCTATGAGATTTATTTTGAGGCTAATGAAAAACAAAAAGAGGGGTTCCCCATGCATTAGTATATTATTACATTCGAGTAAATCAAATTATAATCTTATCTTATAAACCATGTTTGATTACTACGTTTATCAACAAGTTTTTTTCTTTTTGGCGGTATTGGGTATGTGGTACATTGTATTGGTATCAATTTTGAGCTAACTAGACAAATCCACAAGGTCAACTAAACCGATTCTCTACTCTAATCCGTGTTGAATATTGTACATTTCTGATTATCTATCTGCAGCATTTGTGTATGAGAATCTGTATTTGTTTAAAATGTGAATCATATATACAATAATACAAAATTTTCTTGGTTTTATCCTTTTAGTAATATCTATCTCCATTTTTTCTACTTTTTTTTTCTTCTTTAATCAATTTAATAAGTGTTTATACCATTTCTTTAACTTGTGTAATCATGTAGAATTCACCGACAAAGTAAATAGTTTAGTGGTTATGAACGAATGCGAATGTGATTTGTTTGATAGCAATGCATAATTACATAGGATCTAGCTCGTCTCGGCATTGTAAATGCAAATCGAAACCTTGGATTGTATGATTCATATGCCCAAGGATCAAGACGCAAAGTTGTATTTCAATTTTCCATACAGAATGTAGACTATATTACGCATAAAATATTTATAAATATCTTCTTTGTGTTGAAATGTAAATGCATGCCATTGCCATTTAGACTAATAAACAGCATTTGAATATTATATTGTGTAGACTAAAAAATTAACATCCGAATATTTTTCTCTGGTTGGGAAAATTGAGTACCTTGAACGGGACAATATATACGTACATAAACTGTCTTCTACAATCTTTGGGACTAGACCAATAACATGCATTATATATAAGACGACTAATATTTTGGTTCATATAAAAATGTGCAGATGTTGAAGTTAACTGAAACATAAAAATTCCGTTAAGTAAACTATATAGTATATTCTACATCACAAAAGAGGGGTAAGAGCATCTCCAATGGCTCCTTTTTTTTTTTGTTTTTTTTTTTAACACAATCTCCAATGGCTCCTTATCCCCTCATTTTTAAGGGTTTGGCACTCCAATAGCTCCTTATCCCCTCAAATTTTAAAATACCTTAAAACACTATTCATTTTTCATTTTAATCATTCTATTTATGTATGTTTATTTATTGTATACTTATTGTTTGTCATACTACATTTTAGTATCATAAATATATTAACACTTAAATATTATAATTTTAATCTTATAAAGTCAACTTTAAAAATAATAGTAAGTTAAAATATTACACATTAAAATAAACAGAAATATTACACATTAAAATAAGATAAAATATTACACATTAAAAATAATAGTAAGTTAAAATATTACACATTAAAATAAACGGAAATATTACACATTAAAATAAGATAAAATATTACACATTAAAAATAAACATGAAATATTACACATTAAATAATAAACTGAAATATTACACATTAAAATAAGCTGAAATATTACACATAAACTGAATATTACACATTTAAATATATATAAAATTTAGGTACATTTGGTCTCGAACCTTAAAAATCACCAAAATATGGTCGATATAAATAATTGGGTCTTATTACTTATTTATTAAAGTTTAATGATTAGAATTGATTATTAATAAAATTAAGGACTAAACTATAAAATAAGTGAAAATATTTGAAGGAACACTATTGGAGAACTACCTCTTATCCTTTTATTTTAAGGATGGACCCACTAAAAATGAGAGGACTGGTTGGAGACGCCCTAACGATATAATAGTTAAGATCTAGAGCTATAATATAATTTGCATTGTAAGAGAAGTATATATTAAGAATCTATAGTATAAGGATTTTAGTGGGAAATCATGGAAACTATAATGTAAGAGGGAATGCGATGCTACATAAGTAGATTGTATGATTGGACTTTAGAGAGATAAAAAACTAAAATGATGATATAAGGCAAAAGCTTGAGAACAAAATTAAAGTTTTGGTGAACAAAAGAGAAAAAGCTCCAAGGAAACATGGATAGCTCTACTTACTTTGTTGGTTGTTGTCGTGCATGGGCCCTCCTCTCTTCGCCTATGATATCTCCACATTTCCTACTTTATAGTCATACACTTGTAATATGACACCTTTAATTTTTATACTCTTGTAATATTTATATTAATAATATGTTTTCTTCATTTTGTCGTTTATAAATAACTATTTATTTTGTTGTTCACAGTATATGACAAGAGGAGGAAATAAAAATTGCATGTTTTCAGCATGCCGGGTTCGGGGATGAGTTTGGTTTAATTAGGATATCAGTAAGCTTGGTTGGTTAGTGTTGTCCAGTATTCGACCAGATCTTGCTTTTAGGTGAGCGTCCTTGTTTGGATTTCGAGGGCCGTCTTTGAGCAGGGCATGTCTTATTTTTTTTTTAAGAGAAAAACAGAATTCAAACTCGAACCCGATAAAAAACCCTGAACTGAAACCAAATCAAAATAGTAAAATATTCGAACGGATATTGAATTAAGAGAAATTGGATATCTGAAGATAACCGAAGATATGTATATTTAGCCTTATATATATATTGATGTTGTATATGGTTCAAAATAATATGATATACATATTATTGTGGACAAAATAATTTTCTATTCGGTTAAAATGCATATCAAACTTTTTTATTTCATACATTAATAAAAGTTGCATTCAAATTCTCAAACCATTAATTAAATTGAATTGTATTTTTCAATTTTCAGAATTTTGTTTCCAAACTTATTAATCATCTAACCTATTAAAAATTCAAAAACTTAGTTTTGTGAAAAAAAAAATTGAGTAATGAAGACTTTGATTTTTTTTTTAAATCTAAAATATCTGAACCCGATCCGAAATAACCGAACTCGAACCAAAAATACCCGAATCCGACCCTATATATAAAAATAGCCGAACGGGTTCTAGACCTCTTTATCGAAATAGCTAAAAATTCGAAATAATCGATCCGAACCCGAATGGGTACCCGAACGCTCACCCCTAAAAAGAATGGTTATATTTTAGGATAGCCAAATAAGACTTCCTTTATGCTTTGCTTTTGTATTGTCTTTTGTTTCGGGTCTCTCTTTTGTATTTTTTTTTTTAATTTCAGGACTTTATCACTATTTTAAACTTATTCGGTATATTACTGAACGGCCTGATTTATTTTTAAAAAGCTGGACCAATTTGGTGATTTTTTAAATTTTTAATCCATGCATGTTGTAATACCTCAATTTTTATTTCATAAAAATGATAATGACATATTAAGAAGGAAAAAACTGTAATTAGCTTATTCACACAGTTTCTTCATTGTGTGATAGTGCATGACAGAATCAACATCAAAGTATCTTCTCGTTTTACGCCTTGAACAAACCACTTACCCGTGATCAACTTCAAATTTCACGCATTCACTAATCATATCAATACTATTATTTGTGAAGTGATTTTTCGCAACGGAACTCTCACGTTAAAAGTTAGAGTGGTTAATATCATTTATACCCTTAATGAATAAAATATATAAATTAGACATAAAATAAAAACGAAATTGATATTTATTTGATTAGATAAATGATTTAAAATAATAATAATGATAAGAATTATCCATAATATAAATATATATATGTATAAAAAAAAGAAAAAAGATAATTCCTATATATATTGTGTTGTTATCCAAAAAATATATTTTGATAAAAAATAAAAAATCAAAAATCAAAAACAGAAAACACATAAATAAATACTCATAAAGAAACTTTTTAAATGTACATAATTAAAAAATTTATAATACGTAATTATTTTCTAATTAAAAGAATATAAGAATATAACATAATGATACATATATTTTTGAAGTTATTTTTCGCCTCTAAACTCACACGTTAAATTAAATTTATTTTATATTTTATATAGTATAACATTAAACATGAACTAATCATAATAAAAGATCATTCAAAAAGAAAAAAAAATACGTTGTTGAAAAAATAAATTCAAATATATTGTATTATTATCCAAACTAATATTATTCTTTCTGTAAGATCAATTTTTGAATGTATATTTATTGATTCAATTTATCAAATTGAAAGATAAGTTTGAATGTATATTTATTGATTCAATTTATCAAATTGAAAGATAAGTTTGAATGTATATTTATTGATTCAATTTATCAAATTGAAAGATAAGTTTCTATATTTTTTTATCAATTGAGAAGAAATGAAACAAATTTTAGATTTTGTTTTCAAAGTTTTAAAGGGAAAAATAGATTTTTTTTAATTTATGAATAATTTTATCATGTAAAAACGTTTAATGTTTTAGGTCTAATATTTTGGATGAAAATAATCATTTATTTTGATGATTTTAAATTTTTTTAAAAATAATTAAGCCCGCATATGCGGGCAAAACACCTAGTAATACTTTTAAATCAAACCTTACTGAAATCGAACCGTATGGGCCCACGAAAATAAAAGTTTAGTAATGGGCCGAGTAATTAATAATTTTATCGGCCCAACAAGCCGAGGCGGAAAGAGAGATCATATGTCGTTGGTAGAACGGGTCCAGAAAACCGGACCGGGTCGTCGAGATTCGGATCTTAAAACTCCGGTTAAACCAGACCGATCGACCTAAGGTTCTGTTGTGTGTCCAAACCAGACAGAACCGAAGCTGTGCACTGAAAATAGTGTTTTGTTTCTTATTAATCTCCTTAGTGTATCTTCGTGACTTCTTGCTCCATGGGGGAAGGGTACTGGAAGTGGAACCAGCATCAACATCCTCCAAGTGGTCCACCAACACGTTGCCGTTCCAGTTATGTTAAGCTACTTTTTCTTACACTCGCTCTCTCTTGATACGTAAGAGACAAGAGACACATGTGAATAGTTATCCTTTTAGGACATGATTAACCTCGATCAATTAACCGATTCTTAACTCTCATAATTTGATATTTTTTTATTATTATTTTTTACATTTTTTGGTTAAAAAGACTGTTATTATATCTTTTATTTGAGAGACTGTTTTAATTTTTCTTAATTATCTAAAAAAACTAAAAATCGTTTCTTAGCCAAAACTAAAAACTTTAGTTAAAAAACTAAGATTAATTATGGTCTTAATAGTTTACTTGAAGTCAGAGGCACTCACACTTGTTAGAAAAAGGCGGACCACCTTAGGCCTCCATTTTTCAATTACAATTTAGGGCACCATTTTTCCTAAATATGCATTCACTTATGTCTTGTTATGGAATGCACAATTAACAAGTTTTATGAAATTTTGTTAGAAATAACTATGTTTATATATATATTCCATATAAATATATGTTTCTTTTAATTTTACGAAAAGACTTCGATTTCATTTATCGGTTTTGTTGAATGCATTTTCATGATTTACATTTTGTTTTTAACTCATTAATTTAAGATTAACTTTTAGTTTCATAAAAATGATTATATGATCTATACGAGCTAGTTGCAGAAGGATTAATAAAATTTTGTATGTTGTTTTTGCCTTAGGCCCCTCAAATAGTAGGCATGGCACTGCTTGAAGTAGATTATGCTTGTCCATAATCGTTATCTTATAGTTGCAGATTCTGCATCCTTTTCTGTCTACTTCCTCTGTTTCAATTTCATAAACATGTGAAAAGAGTGAACTCACTATGTATTATAACGGATGCGAGAAGATAATGCGGCGAAAAATAGATGAATAAAATCATGCTTACGTTTCTAGCTAATGTAATACGTGAAGCCATAACAATTGATTTCTTTGATTATTAATAAAATCAAAGTTTCGTGAAAAAAAAAACACGAGGGTAAGTAAATAACACAAATATTTAATGTGTTCCACCAAATTGGTTACGTCCAGGGCAAGAGATCTTATTGGATGCGATTCGAGAGCCCAATTATTCTGTTTTGATAGGGAAACCGTGAACCAATTCTTCTATCTCCAGGTGCATCCAAAAGTACTCTGTACGTTGAAGGTCTTCCTTGTAATTGCTCAAGGAGGGAAGTAGCTCGTATCGTATCCTATTTCACATGACACATGAGACAACTTTGTCTTTTCTTAACTTTTAGTGGAAACTATCTTCTGATCTCCACTTGCGCCTAGATATATTTCGACCTTTTGTAGGGTATATAAAAGTGATACTTGTGACCAAAGACTCCAAACACGTAAGATTTATATGCTTCAAGTTTGCATGTGTTCAAGACTCCACTTTACTAAGGATTCATGTTTTATGGTTAATGTAGCGGAATGGAGATCCTATAATTGTTCTTTGCTTTGGTGATTTTACAAACCCTGCCTGCGCAGCCAACTGGTTTGAGCACCTTACATGTAAATAATAAGCTTACAAAGTCTCTTACATGTCGTTACCCTGGCTTGTTATGTTATTAACAATGTATTTTGATTAATATATGTTGTGATGGATTAAGTTTCCAAAAGCGCAAACCTACACCATAGCATGTACCAAACTAATGCCATAAACGGATAAACCATAAAACCTATATATCTCATATGCTTCTAAATCTAAAGGCTATCGAATGGATGAAAGTGAGCCTAATTTAAGTTCTTACGGCTCCAGTTTTCAAGAAAACTAAGTTCAAGGCCGGGACAACGAGGAAGGACGTGAGTACCTGTGGACATTGCATTACATCAACCAAATGGTAATTTATTGTCTCTGCGTCTGCTAGTTTAGCGAGAAGAGACATTCTCGTTCAAGTAAACCGAACATTACATCACTTGTTTGTATGATTGTACCGTAGAAGCAACATAGGACAAGAGGAACAAACATGGTGGGGAGTGTAGAATCTGAGGTGATATAAACTTAAAAGACTATATTAACATATATACAAAGTTTAATTTTATGATATTTTTATGTGAAGAAGATTTTCTATGGCTAATAATTTCAATAAAACAATATTAGCTATGCTTTCTCCCTAAGTTTTTAATTGTTTTACTTTTTTTTCTCAATTCAGATGTTTGACTTGTATTCCTCATAATTATATGAAGACGTGTTTGGGAGGTGCTGTAGTCGGTGACTACTTGTGATACTCGAGATAAGTTTTAGTGGATTATTTATTTCAATCAGTTTGTGGTTCGATTTATGTAATGTTATCTTGTTACATTCCTTGTCTGAAATGTGTAATCTTTCCGTATCAAACAAAGAGACGTGATTGCTTTCGGAGTCATGTTTTCATCATAACTGTATGTATTATGATTCAGTGTATTCAGAATCATTCGCCTTTCTGTTAGTAAATCATTTTAAGCCAAAATAAATAAAGTTTTCATATCTAATTTATATGTATATGAGCAAAATTAACAGAAAGATTACACATCTCAGCAACGAGGGGAGACTATCCGAAACGTGATATGGTTGAGAAATGAGAGCGCTTGATCTGCGCTTGAAAAAACAAAAAAGAACCCGAATCAGACTGGCAAAATCTTTTGCAGCTATGCTTTTCAAACAAACCAAGTAGTTTTTACTTTTAAATATACATTAGCTAGTACCACGTAAACAAAGGATAACTAAGTTAGATTAAACCTTGTGCAAAAGAAATTAGCTTAAACCTATTTGCTAATGACGGTGATTATATTAAAGCTTGATTAACGTCAATTTCTTTCATCATACAAAATGTCAAGATTAGTTAAATAGCTTTTGACGCCTAACCAAAATAGTCGTCAACTTTTGCGAAAAAAAACTATATAGAATGTTAAGTTGTTGATTTGTCTGAATCCTAATCCAGCTGGTTACTTACCCATTTGATAAAAAAAACTCATTATAGTTTATTAACTAGTTTTCAAGAAGAAATTTGGCCTTGAGTAGAATTATATATCTTCCACCTTCTATATAAGTTATAAGTTAAGATACAATGTATATGCGTTATATCTTTCTCATTGAGTTGTTTATATCATTAAGCATATCGATCTTCTTCAAATGCTATTAAAATTTGATTTCCAAAAATGAATTGTATATATCTTGTCTTAATTTTAAATATAACTTAGATTTCCATTAATGTTGACTCAGTACGTAATAGTTGGAATAAGAGCCTAAGAGGTAAATTAATTGGAGTAATGACAAGAAACGTGTTGTAATAAAACGAAGAACGTGTGAAGCATAAACCTAACCCTAAAAATAAAACAGATAGATAATCACCGGCACGACATGGAATCTAGTACATGACGTACCACCTTCTCCATCAATGTTCTTTAACGCGTTTCTTCTGTTCTGCTTCACCCTTTTTTTTGCCTAATTGGAAATCAATGACAACCAAAACAAGAAAAAATATTAACATATTGGAACAATCTAATTATTAGTTACAGAAAAACAACATGATTACCACAAAAAAAACATTTAACTGACGAAATAATTGCTTTACACACACTCAAAATGCGTTAGTTTCTAGCTCATATTTTGATATTCCTTTTATCATTTTTAGAATAATGTTCGGTCATTTTTTTTGTGGTTCCTCTTATTATATCTCACGGAAATCTTTAGATTGGTCGATATATTAATTATAATTTGATAAGTTCGGAACATGTAGAACATATCGATCAATAACTACCAAAATAATTGAAGGGGAAAGAAAATAAATAACGAAAGCCCGACTGAGTCGTGAGACCCAACGTCATCTTTCCTTGTATTGCTTCGTCAACTATTATTGTTTTATAACATTGACAAAATGTCATTTACCAGAGATATAAGTTTTTACAAACGAGTAACTGGAAAGCTATATAAAGGGTGATTAGGGGGGAGAGATAAGAACATCAAACAGAAAGAGAAACACAGCAAAATGGGATCACCAATGGCCTCTCTGGCAGCAACTTTGCTTGTCTTAGCATTCTCTCTTGGTTTTGTATCTGAAACCACCGCAAATTACTATTACTCTTCTCCTCCTCCGCCTGTCAAGCACTACACTCCTCCGGTTTACAAATCACCACCACCACCGATTTACCAGTCTCCCCCTACTCCGGTTTACCAGTCTCCTCCACCACCAAAGAAACACTACGAGTACAAATCACCACCACCACCAATTTACCAGTCTCCCCCTCCTCCCGTGTACCACTCTCCTCCACCACCTAAAAAGCACTACGAGTACAAATCACCACCACCACCAGTTTACCAGTCTCCCCCTCCTCCCGTGTACAACTCTCCTCCACCACCTAAGAAGCACTACGAGTACAAATCACCACCACCACCAGTTTACCAGTCTCCCCCTCCTCCGGTGTACCACTCTCCTCCACCACCTAAGAAGCACTACGAGTACAAATCACCACCACCACCAGTTTACCAGTCTCCCCCTCCTCCCGTGTACCACTCTCCTCCACCACCTAAGAAGCACTACGAGTACAAATCACCACCACCGGTTTACCACTCTCCTCCAGTGTACCACTCTCCTCCACCACCTAAGAAACACTACGAGTACAAATCGCCACCACCACCAGTTTACCAGTCTCCCCCTCCTCCAGTTTACCACTCTCCACCACCACCGGTATATCAGTCTCCCCCTCCTCCGATTTACCAATCTCCTCCTCCTCCAGTTTACCACTCTCCACCACCACCAATTTACCAGTCTCCCCCTCCTCCGGTTTACCACTCTCCACCACTACTACCGGTTTACCAATCTCCCCCTCCTCCGGTCTACCACTCTCCTCCACCACCTAAAAATTACGAGTACAAATCTCCTCCTCCTCCAGTTTACCAGTCTCCTCCTTCTCCGATTTACCAATCTCCTCCACCTCCGGTTTACCATTCTCCTCCACCACCAAAACACCATGAATACAATTCTCCACCTCCTCCACCGGTTCACTACTCACCACCACACCAACCCTACCTCTACAAATCTCCACCTCCTCCATACCACTACTAACTAATCGTCACCATGGTAATTACATTTCTTAACTTACAACATGAAAGACCTCAATCAAACTACAGTTGCTTATTTCATACCCTTACATGTATTCATGCAGGAGTTGACGGCAGTACACAAGAAAGCAAATAATCTTTTGGTGATAAATTAAAAGACACAATATCATTAAGAGATTATCAATACATATATACTAAAGAGAAAGTTTTTCATTCAATGTGTGTGTGTGTGTGTGTTGTAATAAACTGCAAACATATTGATGAGTGGTGCCATTCATGCATTGCAAATTAGTCATATGTTTGTAAGTTCAAGTCCTGTTTTCCAAATTCTTCAATTTTAAAGTTTGATTGTTTACTTTAAATAAAAATGTTTTTTCTCAGTTTGCCCTGCTCTACTATCACTTATAGTTTGAATTGGCTGCTATACAAAATCACCTTATTATAAATTTACCGTCAAAACATCATTATATTAATTTGCTTATTATAACTTATACATGAAATTTTACATATATATATAGTCAGACGATCTAATGGAACTGGTCGATTTCTGAGCAATAAGTGTTGTATAAGAAAGTCATTTAAAAAAAAAAAAAACTTCTTGGGGTCTTTATGGTACCATTTTGCCTTTAAGCAGAATGAAATTCAAGTTTCGTGTATGTCTCCCATTTACATTACTAAGTAATGCGATTCACATTTATTCTTATTAAAAAAAAAAATAACTTGACTCGAAATTTGAATCAGAATATACAAAAGCAACAGTTTGTTGGGGGTAAAAGACTGATGCCCTGAGGTCAACAGCAACATTAACCATCTGTAGATCAATATTACAGGATTGCATTTACTCACCACGTACAGGAAAGATCTTCAACCGTCGCTTATAGTGAAAACAAATTAGAAAAGTTCAATTGAAGAGTTATGTTATATTGGTATTCTTGATATGTTACTATTATTATTTTACAATTGGTCGTATTTGCTAACTCTGGATCTAAGAAATAGTGGTTCTAAAGAATCTTAAACTTAAACCTGAACTAAGACAAACCTAAACTTTCTCAATATGATTGACGCATCGGTGATGATTTTGTTCGATCATCTATAGACCGAATATAATGGTTCATGACATATGCATAGGATAAGGCCCCATATTAAACTTTGCGTGTGCCAATATGGCATAAAATATTATTAGTTAATAGCAAATCTGCATCATCAACCACGTTCCTTCCATTTCAAGCTAATGATATCATCATCAGATGCATATGTATAATGGACGAAGTATACTTTGAAATCAAGCATACGTATGATTGATGTTAGAGTTGACTAACAAGGAAAATCAAAGAACATTTGAAAGAGAGATGTAACTCTTATAACCACAGTCTTTAAATTCAAGAACAACATAAAGCACCATGACAAAGAGATAAAAACACATCAATAAACACCAACAATAACAACAAAAGCACAAACAACCATTCATTGCATCAATGTAAGCTTAGCTTCAAACACAAACCCACGACACAACCCATCACCATAACCCGAAACACCATCAACCCATCTCCACCCTTCCCAACAATCCCACATTGCAAGCTTCCCCATCCTCTTAGCAGAGAAGTAAACCCTATCACCACCTCCAAAAACCTTAAACTTACTTGACTCTTGAAACCCTCTATACATCTCAAGCGGCATCCTCCCCGCTTCCTCCCACTCCAAGCTCTCTAAACAAAGCCTAAGTATCAGAATCGTCGAACACGCCGGGTTCAAGGAGAACGTCGACTTCAACCCACCAATCATCAGCAACTTCGACTCGCCTTCCCCTCTCAGCAAACGCGGTCGTTTTATAATATCAAAGATATCTCCCCACTCGTGCTTCTCCAAACAAGTCCAGTTCGTGTGAGTGACTGTGAGACTTGTAAGCCTACAAGAAAAGAGCTTCCACTGGCTTCTCCACGGTGATCCCACGTCGCATAATGCGAACACAGAGGTCGACGTTAACACAGGGCTTCTTGGCTTCGACGGTAAGTTCGATGAGAATTTTAGCCACTGGTTAGCCACCACCGATCCTGAACATATCAAGTGAAACATTTAGTCTATCTCTCAAATCAAAAATTTCAAGAATTAATATAAATACAAAAAATTATTACTCCCTCATTTTCATTTTAGTTTTAGGTTTGTGCACAAAAAAATATGAAAATATTTAATTTTGCGTATTTTCAAAATAAAAATACAATTAGTTATACACATAAACACATTTCCACATATTAAAAAAAAATTGAGTGACCTATAAAATCAATAAGTTTTGAATCAAAATTGTAAAATGACACTTATTATGAACCGAAAATTTTAATTTACAACTAAATTTTAATCTAACAATGTTAGGCAAACATCAGCCTTAACCACAACAAAACCCAACTCTAAACCCAAACAAAAAAATTAAAAATATTTTTTTCTAAATATCCTTCTTAATTACAGCCTAACTATAAACAGAATCTAAACAGGCCACTAATCCTTCTTAATTACGGCCTAACTATTTCTTGAAACAATGAACCCTAACCACGTTACCTGAGTAATACAGAGCAGCAAGCTCGGTAAGGACCATGACTCTATTAACCGAATCCACAAGAACTGTACCATGCCTCGACCAAGCCGAGCCAAGCTGAGGCAACACCTTAAACTGCCGAGTCAGCGGATTACACGCCACGAGCGACTTACTCGAGTCAACCGAGTTAACCGAGTCACCCCAAAGATAGATCAACCCGTTGGAGGAAGCCACAGGCTGCGGAGACCTGAAAGGGAGGAAATCGAGGCTGAATCTGAGCCACTGATCCTCGTCCGGATCGTACACGTTGATGTAGGGATGAGAATTCGCCGCGTGGCGGTGTCTGTGGTGGTGCGGAGGACGGAGAGCGAGGAGGTTGAGAGGAGGACGCGTGGAGATGATCTCTGTGAAGGATTGTGAGGTCAAGAGGTGGTTGAAGAATTTGCAGACGGATCTGCAGATGATGATTTGGCGGAGAGGGAGGGAGGAGAAGATCTGGTGGAGTGAGTCCGGTGGGAGACGGTTGATTGGTGACGACTCCATGGTGGCTACTCCGGCGGCCTGTGGAGACGTGAGAGGATTTAAAAGGGTAGGATGGTAATTGTGTTGGGGAGGTTTGTGTTTTGGGAGTTGTTATTGGTTGTGATGTTCGGTATCGCGGAGTGGGAGAGAGGTGAAAGCAAAGAGAATGGTTTTTTTTTTATAGTTCCGGTTTTGTCCTTGTGTTAATGGGCTGACTCAGCTACTTGTCTTGATATCATTGAATAATTTTCTTAGACTATGTAGAGAAAGAATAATTAGTAGGAAGACTCTTTCGGTGTATGATTTTTTTGAAAATATTGTTGGGATATTGTGATAGTTTATACGTTCTCACAATTATTATTTTATCATCAATAATTTCAGAATGACATTATTGAAATTCTGGTGTCAAGATTACTTTATGTTAATGTAGGAATTAAATCGCCAGAAAAAATCAAGTTGCTATTGCCGGCCTTGTTGGAATCAAGTTGCTATTGTCGGCCTTGTTGGTTAATTGGGTCCAAAACAAAATGCCGGCTTAATTATCATATAGATATGTTATAAGTCGGCCCGCCGGTCATTGGTAAGTGGAGTTTGGTTCAACCAAAAGCTCAAATTTATAATTTTCTAAAAATTCAACCATTAAAATTTCCTCAAAATTTAGTTAAACAAAATTCCACAGCATTAATATTTATTAAGTAAAATACAAAAATAATTAGATAAAAAAACTCTTATCTATGCCTTGTTATTTAAGTCACACTAGGTGATTTTCTCGTGCTCATGCACGGGTATAAATATTTATTAAGTAAATATACTATAATAAATGATTACTATTTACTTTTACTTTTCAATTAATTTATAATTTGCATACATGATTTATATTAATAATATTATTTTACTTTAATTAGACATAAATATTATATCTAGTCAATTTTATTATTTTATAGTCGATTTTACTGTTATTATTTGGGTATATTAGATTACATTCTTTTATCTGAATTCAACTATAATATTGTTTATTCTAAATATATTAAATTTTGATTAATTCTATTATTTACTTTTACGTTGTTTGCTGTCTCAGATGTCAATATATTTTAGAAAAGTTATTTATAACTTAAGATATATTATGTCTATAATGAAATATAAAATAATTTTGATTTCAAATTACATCAATCGATATAAAGATAATCTTTGAAGTCTCATGCATATATATAAATTTCACAAAATAAATCAAATTAAAGTAATATTATTTATCATTTAAATGTGCACGTATTTTCATAATATTTATCAAGTTATATGTTTCTTTAAAATATAGTAGAAAATAAAGCANATATATATAAATTTCACAAAATAAATCAAATTAAAGTAATATTATTTATCATTTAAATGTGCACGTATTTTCATAATATTTATCAAGTTATATGTTTCTTTAAAATATAGTAGAAAATAAAGCAATAATCAGTAGGAAGTTACATACTTAAGTAACTCATATATTTTTGGAGATTCATGAACACATATCAATATTTACATTAACTAAAATATTTTATAAATTCTAAATAATTTTATATCTTAGATTTATTGAACGATAAACTGAAATTATTTTAAATAATCATAAAAATGAGAATTCGGATTTGCTTTGGTATTTTTATTATGGTTATAATAAGTTACACAAACATAAAATTTTTAAAAAAATTATAATTAAGAAACATATAATTTAAATAATGATAGAATATAGCATATCTATGTCATTAAAGTATATAGTGGTATGATATTTTAAAATATTTTGTAATTATTTGATTAAAAGATGTTTATTGTTAAAAATATTTTAATTTCTCTTAAAAATAAGCAGTAAAAATTGTGGTTGTATTTCATTATATGATTTAATTAAAAGGGGAAATTAACAAAATAAATAAAATATTCAATAATTTTAATTAAAAACTATTTTAGTTAATTAAACATATACTTGTTTATGTTACTTAAAATTATGTTTAAAAGTAATTTTTTTTTTCAAATATCAAAATTATATGTGTGAATTTTTTGTTATGAAATCACATTATATAAAAATATATATTTTCATATAAGAAAATACAGATATAAAGAAAGTATTTTATTAATTAAAAAGTACATCTTATGTTATTTAAAATATTTTTAATGGATGTTACTTTTTTTTTTTTTTGAACAACTGATTATATTAAAAAACTACATACCCAATGGGCTAAGACGGTTACAACCGGAGGAAAATTCGACGGTAAACTGAAAAGCGAAACTAAGCAGAACATGATAAATGATAGAAGTGGCTAAGGAGAGAAGAGACTCGTAGAGAAGCTTCACTTGTGATCCTTGAGCCTGCATTCGAAGGAACGCGCAGAAGTCGATATCGACGTTGAAGAACCCAATTAATGGGTTTTGAGAACAGCAAAAAACTGTCTCTGGAGATGCTTGAAACTCTCGACGTTGCAGTGAGGTGCAGGGAGGTTGTCGGAATAGGACTACACACAGAGTCGTCGACGATACAACCTCTGAAAAATAGCTGTTAACAGAGTCGGGAAAAGCTGAGTTTTGATTACATTGTAGGGGCTGCCGGAATAGGACTACACACAGAGTCGTCGACGGTACAGCCTTAGAGATTGGGAGGATGAGGGTTTTATCAATGTAATCTTCAAACCTAATTACATGCTGAAGCACGTAGGATTGTAATGACGAAGAACATGGGAGATGGGCCTTGTGCACGAAAGGAGAGAGTGGGCTGAGAGGTAGGAGACCCCAATACCAAAAGTCCCATTTGTCTCTTAAATCTGGACTAAAGCCCATTCCAACTAGCAAAGCCCATAGCCAATTAGGGGTTAGGGTTTGGTTGGAGACAGAGATGCAAGGGACGCCGTTAGTGAACATCTCATCGGAGAGAGCTTTGTACGTTGGAGCTCCGTAGACAGCGTGGCTCGTTGTGACGTGTGAAGACCAGCGGTGAGCGTGCAGGCCGGAAAGAGTCGGTGTGAGGAGAGTCGTCGGTTTGGACCTCCGATCTACTAAATGCGAGTTGAGACGCGGCGGAGGGGCTTGTCTGCAGAACTGACTTCCACAGAGTGGAGAGTAACGTGACAGCGCGAGACCAAATGGTGTGGACGGCGGAGACAGTGATGAATCTGACTGAAGAGACTTAGATAAAGTCACCAAGGCGTCCGAGAAGCGGTAATGGCGAGAGGAGATGAAGCTTGAGCATGTTGTTCCGAAATTCTCAAAGAAAAGCCACATTCCAGTGAGATTCGAAAAGGAAGACATAAAATAAACAGAGAGAGAAGCAGAGACCGAGCAGAGAATGAAGAGAAGGGAAAGAGAAGATGAACAGTAGCGACGCCAGCGAGCAGGGGCTCCACCGGCGTCGGAGAGAGATCTCAGATTCGGCGCCTCGATATTCACGTCTGGGAGAAAATCTAATTATTTTTGTTAATTTCCCCTTTTAATGAAATCATATAATGAAATCATATTATATAAAGTATAAACATATATTTTCGTTTTTAATTTTTCCTTTTAAATTTTATAGATGTTTTTTGGGAGAATTTCAGTTTTACCACAAGTGTGCTACCATTATTCATATATACACTTAGAAGGAAGACATTTTCAGAAATACCTAAATCATTAATAGGTAAAAGACAAAATAACCCTCTCATAAATTGATTATAATTTTCTATCTCTTTATCGAGAGAGTTTGACGGATTACGGCAACACGATGACGGCAACGGCAACGTGACGACGAGATCGAGCGTTGAGATAATCCAGAGTTCCACTTGGATGCGAGCAAGAACAACGCGAGAGAGAAGGAGTGGGGTGATGAAATCACGATTGTCTTTGGATCCTGAT